GTTATAAATACTGTAATATATCATTTTATTTTATCGGCATGCCTTTTTGTAAATACAAAGAACTACAAAAAAAAATTATAGAATGGCTTCTGGCTTATGCCATTGTCCATGGTTATTTTTATTTTTTTAAGATTTTTTCTGTTGTCCTTTAAGACTTTAGATAGCCAGGAAAAACGTCCCCCAAAGGAAAAAAAAAAACACCCAACCAAAAAAAAAATTCCAAACCAACCCCTTAATCCCCCCCAAAATAGATTTTAACAAAAGCTTTATTGCAAGCGATCTTTGCAGCAGCAAAAAGTCTCCACTTTTGGGTTCCAATGTGCAATAAGTCGACCACTTCTATGCAAGATTTGGCTGAACTTCACAATTGTCCTCAGGCTGGGCTGAGTCTCGCAGGTGACGCTCGGTGCGTTCGTGCTGGCAACTCATGAAGCTACTCAATTCCTTTAAAATAAAAAGTCCCTTCAAACTCTGTATAGATATTTATTTTTTTAATGCTAGATCCCTATGAAACAGGAGGTTGCTGAGCAGGAAGGGGAGGGAGGAGGTTCTTCAGCCTCTCGGCGGCTGGAGTTGGTCCTTCTGCTCAAAAAAGGGGGTTTTTGGGGTGGTTTTTCTCCCTTAGTTTCCTCCCTCAGCTGAGGGGGAGCAGGACACAGTGGGGCTTCACTGGGTGAAGCCAAGGGGGGGAGGAAACTTGGGGCCAGGAGCCTCAGGGACTTTCGTGTGGCACCCAAAAACCTCCCAATCCAAACTCCTGCGCGGAATTCACCCTCTGGATTCAGGGTTGTGGGAGCAAAGCCAGGGAGGGGGTGTTGCCATCAAAAAGACAGTAGCCAAAAATCACGCCCACGCCGAGCAGTTCCCTTCTCTCCCCCTCCTCTAAAACCCTCTCCCTCCTGGGTTAAATCTGTGACTCCAAAGCGCCGAGGGGAGGGCGAGAACAAAATGCCAGTCCCAAGCTGCTTCGCTCACTTTTCACCTTTTTTTAAAATATAGAAGCCAACGTTGAACAAAAAAAAATTCAGGCAACCCCGCGGTGTTCCGTAGAGGCCACACCTGAGTTTGGATTATTTAATTTTCTGCCGCAAAAGTAAAATAAAATAAAATAAAATATAAAATAAAATAAAAAAACCTGTTCAAGCTGTAAAAGCTCAATAGCGAAGATTAGTGTATTAGAAACTGCATGGTGGCTCATACCGGTCTTAACCCAACATGATTAACAATTACTATAAGCCAAAAGAAAATTAAATAAATGTTACCCTTTTCACTGTACAAGGGAAGGTTGTCTTGGTGTCCCAGTTATTTGCCTGGTTGCATCCTCCCTCCCCTCCTCCTCCTCCTCCTCCTCTGCGCTTCCTCCGAGGCTTTTTCAGGGTGGTTTTTGTGGAGCAGAGTGAGGTGCAGGAGAAGCTGCTGGAAGGTGTTTGGTGTTACCTGGTGTTGGGTGCCCACACGGCTCAGCCCACGCTGGGTCTGTGGGGTCTCTGCCTTTGGGGGGGCTCAGAACCTGCTCAGGGCTCCCATGGCTGGGGCAGGTGGGTGCCCTTGGCAGGTCAAAATGCCCCGTGTTGGATCTGCTCTGGCAGGGGAGGACGTTGTTGGTCTGTGGTGTCTCACGCTGGAACCCAACCCCTCACCCTGGAACCCCTCACTCACCCTGCAACCCCTCACCCTGCATCCCCTGACCCTGCAACCCCTGACCTGGAGCCTCCGACCCTGCAGCCCCTCACTGACCCTGCAGCCCCCGTCACTTGCACTAAAAAGACCCAAAAAAGGACCCAAAGCAGCTGCAGAGCCCCCCCCGAGTCCTTGCCCGGGGCAGGTCGGGAGCTCTGAGCACTGGTGCTGTTTGGGGGATCCCCCCGCCAGGACCCAGCACTTCCAGACCCTGAATTCCCACCCCTGTTCTTGGCTTCCCTTCTCCAGATCAACCCTCATCCCATGGGATGCCCCGTGGAGTGACAGTGGGGTCGGTGGGGACAGATGGGGGGTCCTGCTGCTCAGTGGTGCTGAAGGGCCCCGGATTGGGGCTGGAGCCGGTGGCAGGTGACCCCTCACCTGCCCCCCACCACCAAGGGCTGAGCTGGGTGTGAGCCCCTTGCCAAGGGCAGGACTTACCCTGGAGTTGAATGTCCCAGGCGTCACCTTGGAATTGGTTCTCCCTATTTGAGTTTTGGTCGCCCTGGAATCATTTTTCCTGTTTGAGTTTTGGTCCGATTTGCTCAACAAATGTGAATTTTCCTGCTTGGTTGAGGCCGGGTTAAAGCAAACCACTGGCACTGCAGGGCCCAGAGCGTGGTTGTGCCGTCCTGCACCTCACCAGTGCCACGCAACGGCAGCACTGGTTTAACTGGGGCGCGGGGACGGAGCATTCCCAGTTCTCCCCATCTGTAAACGGGGTGGCTCATTCCCTACCTCACAGGGGTGTTGTGAGGCTTAGTTTGTGATGCGTGGAGGGTCTCGGGCACCCGGGGCTGTGCAGGCAGAGCGGGGCACTGGGGGGGGCCCGGGGGGTGCCAAAAATGCTGCTACGAAAGTCCCGCACCCTCCGCCCGGGGCAGAGGCAGCTCCTCCCTCTGACACCCCTCTCAGGCCGCTGGGGCTTCACCCCGAGCTGTCCCTGCTCCCCCCTTCCCCCCTTGGCTTTACTCTCTGTTCTGTTTGACCCGAGGAGAGGAGGAGGATGGAGCTGGGGGAGGGAGGAGGAAGGCGATGGAGGAACGGGCTGGGAGTTCCATGTCTGAACTTTTGAGTTCCTTTGTACTGTACATCTTTTTACTTTGGAATTTGCAATAAAGAGGTATGTCCATCTTGTTTTAACAACTTCTCCTGGCTGCCCTGTCGTTCTGTAACCTTCGCACAGCAGCGACCGCCTCCCCAGTCCCCAAAATCCACACCCTCGGCCCAGACAGGTCATTCCCTGCCAGGGCAGGACTCCAGGGGTGGCTTTGCAAGGTGGGGCTGGTCTGAAGCGTGGATGTCCAGCACCAGCCCCTGCCCTGGAGGAGCCCCTGAGCTCCTTATCCTGAGAGAGTCACAGCTTCGAAACCCCCTGGGCACGACACAAAGCTCATCCCAGCCCTATCCCAGCACATTCCAGGAGGAATGAGGGAGGCTTTAGGGAGGCTGAGCGATGCTTTAGGGGACACACCCTGCCACAACCACCCTGCGGGTCCACGCTGCTCCAGGGGGACCTGCAGCCCTGAGCAGCCCCTGTGGCTGTCGGGGACCTGCCCTCGCTCTGCTCCAGAGTGAACACTCCAAGACCCACAAACTCCCTCCACCACCAGCTTTGAGCTGCTCCTCGGGCTCCCCGCGGCCGAGGCAGACGCTCCCCAGCACGGGGGGGCCGAGGTGACAGATGGCAAAACAGCCCCTCAGCCCCTCACCCTGCGGAGCAGCCACTGGGTCTGACCTTCACTGACGGGCAGGAGCCACCTGAGAGGACACAGGGACAGCTCCGTGCCAGGAACTGGCCACGCTGGTGCTTCAGGAAGCGGCTCCCCGAGGGCAGCGGGGACCATTCCATTCAGGAGGGAAAAAAAGCATTGTGTAAATTGTGTAGATTTTAACTGTTCTGCTCGTCTCGGGGTTATCTGTCCTTCCCTTCCTTCTCCAACGCTCGTGGGCCACTTGGTTGGATTGATGCAAACCAGTTCTTGATATAAAGAGAAGCCCCCAGACCCCTGGTGGCTCCTCAGCCCACCCAGCTCCCAGGTGGCTTCAGGAAAGCCACGAGTGTCATCCCAGATGACTCCAAGCAGCACAAAATGCCTCTGCCACAACTCGTCAGGTCACGGGGGTTAAAATTACCCTCTCGCCTTTAAATAATTAACCCCTGGTGCTGGCTCAGCCCGAGAACCCAGCAGAGAGGTTTTACCCCCTCCCTGCCCTGGCAGGACCCCACGCTGGGGCTGCAGCCCAGGGAGCTCTGCCCGGCTCCATCCCTGCCACAGGGCACCTTGGCATCCAGTGACAACCAGGGACATCTCCAGCACAGCCAGGGGTGACGGGGGTGGCTGGTGGCCATCCAGCCCCGGGTAACCCAAGGACGGGCCCCTCCCTGCCCGGGAGAACACACAAGGTCGGTCTCTCCATCTCAGTCCCTCCGCGAGGCTTTACTGGGTCTCGTTTTCCCTCCCGGCAGATTCCGGGCGATGCTCCGGTGTGGGAACCATCCCAGTTTCAGGCGGCCAAGAGCCTCCTCCAGTGGCAGTAGTACATCAGCGTCCCGGTGAGGAGGGTGGAGGTGAGGAAGGCTCCCAGGACGCCCAGGACCACGGGCTGGACCCAGCCCAGCGGGTCGCGGCTGTACCGGGGGGGCCGGTGCCGCTCCAAGAGCAAATCCCCCGTGCCAGGGGCCCTCCTGCCCCGCTCCCCCCCGGGCTGCAGCTGCACGGAGCTGAGGTGCTGCACGCTCCGGCTGTATCCCTCCACGTTCTTCTTCAGCTGCAGGCTCCGGTCTTGGTTCAGGTTTTTCCCCAGCTCCCGGGCGATGTCGGAGCGGCCGACCTGGCGGAGGCTCCGGACCAGCCGGTCCCAGCTCGTGGCCTCTCCTGCCGTCACCAGCCAGTGCCGCAGGGCTTCCGAGCAGCGCTCGGGGCTGCGGCGGCTCCGGCGGGGGCGGGCGGGGCTGTTCCTCTCGGAGAGATGCTCCGGCTCAGGCTCCAGCCCCTGCAGTTCCTCGTCGGGGCCGTTCAGCTTCTCCTGTAGCCGGAGGCACTCGGGGCGGGACAGCAGCTCGGCGATGCGTTCCATGGTGTGACGGCCCACGGTGGCCGCCACCGTGTCATCGGCCCGGCCACCCACGGCCAGCAAGAGCAGGACGAGTCCCAGGGGCACCAGCATCGTTCGGGTACCGGCAGGGATTTGGTGCCCCTTGGCACCAGGGACGCAGAACCCCCTGCTGACCTCACAATCCCCCGCTGACCTCACAGAGCCGCGTGTTCCAGGGACGTCCGTCCCTCTGTCCAGCCACCCCTCCAGCCACGACATCCCCCTCAGCCTGGAGCATCCCACCCGCATCCGTGGGATTCACCCGGGCTGGGATATTCGGGCTCTGCAGCCGTCCCCGCCTCTGCCAGCACGTTTGGAGGGGCGGGATGGGGACAACCACTGCCCCCTGGGACACCTCCACCACCCCCGTCCCACCTCCCAAAGGCCGCGGCAGCAGCTCGCCTGTCCCTCCCCAAGGAGGGGGGGATGTAACACCCGCCCCCCACGCCGGGACCTGCCTGTTCCTCCTCTCCCACCCCAAATCCACGGAGCAGAGCCGGGTTTAGCTTCGCTCGGGGTCAGGGCGGCGACCCCGTAACCACGAGGTGGCAATGCAGCCCCGAGGTGACAGCGCAGCCTCGAGGTGACAGCGCAGCCCCGAGGTGACAGCGCAGCCCCGAGGTGACACCGGCGCTCCCACTTTCAATCTGGGTGTCGATAAAAGCTGAGATTTCCCTGGATCTCCTCGAAAAACCTCACCACGGAGGCCGCGGGGCTGTGCCGGCAGCAGGTGGAGGAGCCGAGCCCCCCTTTGCTGGAGGAGGAGGAGGAGGATGGAGCCTTCCTCCCATTTTTCCGCAGCCTTTCTCCACAGCACCCGAACCTCGGGGGTCCCAATAAAAGCCGGATTGTTCCTGATGTTCCAGCGCCGGCACAAAGGCTCCAGCACCTCCCGGCCACCACCCAGGGATAACACCGTGTCCCCTCCCTGCCACCACCCAGGGATAACACCGTGTCCCCTCCCGACCTGGGGGTCCGGCACCCAACTCCTCACCCTCCCACCCACCGAACCCCTGCCCCCCTTCCCCCGTCATTCCCAGCCCCCCCCTGCACCTCCCCCGTACTGGGGGGGTCCTCCCCAGCAGCCAAACCTGCCCGAGACCCCCCTGAGCCCCCCAAGGACCGGGGGAAGGGGAAGGGGACATTCCAGCAGGGCCCCCCCTCCTCAGCAGGACATCGGTGCCACTGCCCGAATAAGGGAAGGGCAAAGCTGGACCCCGCACCCATCACCCACAGCAGGGGATGGGACACCCCTGACGAGGGAAGGGGGCACCCTTGGATCCCCCCAACACCCCAAACAAGGGCAGGAGATTCACCTGGACCCCCATCACCCCTAATAAGGGAAGAGGACACACCTGGACCCCCCCCAGACCCACAACAAGGGAAGGGGACACACCCGGACCCCCCTCGCCCCCAAGGACAGGAGTTGTTCATGTAATCTCTTTAATACTGTGTAATACTTTTCTTCTTTAAAATACAGCATTTCTTGAGGTAGACCATCCCAGCCCTAGAGCTTGTCTGTCTCAGACATCAATAAGACATGAATTAAATACTTTCATGTACAATATGTTGCAAAATGAGGTAGAAATGGTTACAGAGAGTGTACAAATAGGATAATAATAATAATAAGTCTTCAGGAACCCAGCACCACTTTTTGGAGGGGGGTGGGGGAGGAGCAAAGGGGGTGCCCTGGTAATGCCCTGGACGCAATAGGAAACTGTGAAAAAAATTGGGAAAAATTGGGAAAAAAACTGGCAGACACTTCGGGGTGGGGGGGGGGGGGGGTCCCCGTGGGGGGTCTGTTCTCTCTGCATGTGCAGACCCTGAGGTTTGGGGGGGCTGCTCTGAGGGGGAGGGCCTGGAGCAGCTGCTTCCCCATCTATAGAGCACTAAAAAAAAAAATTAGGATTTTTTTTTAATTAGGGGAAAACCCCCACCCCCACAGCGATGCAGAGGGGTGGGGGGTGAGTGGATGGGTTGGGGGGGTTCATGCTCTGTGCAAAACCCCTGGCTCAGCCCTGACAGGTTTTTGGGGGGCCGGGGAGAAGTGATTTCCCCAATCTGTGGCCACCAAAGCTCAGAGGAGCCGAAATTCCCTGATTTTAGGTGAAAAAGGAGCAGTGTCAGCACCGGAATCCTCCCAGCAAAGCCCGGGCGACCCCTGTGTCCCAAACCCACGCTGGGAGGAGGATCCCCCCCCAATCCCAGCCTGGCTCTGGGAATGGGGACCCCCCCTGCTCCAAAAAGTGGTGCCAGCGACAGCTCCCAACCTACGGCACTAAACTTCCCGTTGAAGACACGTTACTCCACCAAACGCTACAATAACAATGTTAAAAGCAAAAATTAAAATAAAATTATGGCATAATATACGTGGAAAGCATCCGAAATACATTCAAATTTCATCTTTGTAACAGCTTCAAGTTTATTTTTTTTCCTTTTCTTTCTTCCTTTCTTTCTTCACCCCCTTTGGAAGCAAATGCATGAGGCAGCTTTGTCCCAGGTCAGAAAACTCTTTAAAAAATCTCTTTTTTTCCTTTTTTTTCTGAGAAGATAAAAAGAGTTTTTAAAAACACATTCTTTCATTTTTTTCTGAGGTAATTCTTTTCCTGAGTAGTTAAAAAGAAAAAACAAAAACAAACGAACAAAAAAAAAAAAATACTACAGACCTTACAAAAATAAAAACCCGAGTCTAGGATATTCAACAATCTACAGCATTTTACTCCAAAACCTCCCGGTTTTGGGGTGTCACTCCCTGGTTTTGGGGTGTAACCCCCTGGTTTTGGGGTGGAACTCCCTGGTTTTGGGGTGTCACCTGGTTTTGGGGTGTCCCCCCTGCCCCTCCCTCCCCAACCAAGGTCATCGCCAGGGGCGAAGGGGCTGCTTGGCTCGGAAGACGCCTGAGGTATTTCTGTTGGGAACAACAAAAGCAGTTAAAAAAAACAATAATAAAGCTTTTGGGTGGACGGGGGGAGCTCGTGCATCCGGCGCCGGAGCGGATCCCGACGGCGGAGATCCGGATCCCGGGGCGCCTCCAGCCCCGCTGGCACCGCTGGTCCAGGGACGGGCAGAGGGGGAAAACAATAAATAGGTTTATCCTGAGTCATGGGCGACACTCCCGAAAAAACCACGGAGGGGAAATTCCCTGGGTGAGTCCGAAAGAGGAGAGATGAGGTACGTGGTGCTGCTGGGAGGAGGGATCCGACCCCGCCCGGAGAACCGGAGTCCCGCAGACCCCAACCCCGCATCCGTCCCCCAGATCCGGCCCCGCAGCCTCGGGGTCCGTCCCGGTCCCCCCCCGCTGCCGTCAGTGCCTGGTTCCGTACATCTTATCCCACTCCAGGAACAAGTCCAGCTCCTTCTGGGAGGCGGCGGGGCGGACCTTGCAGAACGCCTTCTCCAGGTCCTGGTAGGAGGTAGGGGAGGGTCCCGGCAGGGCGCGGCGCGCGGCCCCGGCGTGCTGGCAGAGCCGCAGGAGCTCGGCGCCGGAGAAGCTCTCGGTGCGCTGGGCCAGCGCCGCCAGCTCCCGCTCGCTCAGGCAGCAGCTCTGCTGCGCCAGGGCCTGGCGCAGGATGTGCCGGCGCGCGGCGCCGTCCGGCAGCGGGATGTAGAGCCGCGTGCCGAAGCGCCGGTGCGACGCCTCGTCCATGCTGCCCGGCCGGGCCGTGGTCCCGATGACCACCACGTTCTGCTCGGATGAGGTAGCCACGTTGTCCAGGTAGGAGAGGAGCTGGGACTTGAGGTTGCTCGCCTGCCCGCCGTCCCCGAGCAGGGCCTCGGCCTCGGTGATGAGCACCACGGCGGGCTGGCGGCAGCTGGCCACGAAGAACACGGTCTGCAGGATCTTCTCGGCCTCGGCCTTCCAGGTGGAGAGCAGGGTGGCCCCGCTGAGCCTCAGCAGGGTGGAGCCCAGCTGGGTGGAGATGCAGCGGCTCAGCAGCGTCTTCCCGGTCCCGCGGGGGCCGAAGAGCAGCAGGGTCCGCAGCGGGTGGCTCGCGCCGCTGTAGGCGCCGGGGCGCAGGATGGGCCACACCAGCTCCTCCTCGATGGCCGCCTTCACCGACACCTGCCCGGCCACGTCCGACCACTGCACCGGCGGCCCCCGCTCCACCACCTTGGTGTTCACCAGCTCCAGCACCAGCGGGTCGACGTTTTTGGGCTGCTCCTCCACCGGGGCGGCGGCGCCGCCGCCGAACACCGGCGCTTTGGGGGGCAGCCGCAGCGGGAAGGGGGGCCCCGGCTCCGCCGCCCGCTCCCCGTTGGCGAGGGGGGGGCTGAACTTCTCGAAGGGCTCCGCCGGCCGCAGCGGAGCGTCCCCGGCGCCGTAGGGCGGCGAGACCACGCCCTTCATCTGCTGCCCGCCGTACTTGCCGGCGTGTTCCTCGGCGCTCCCCGCTCCCGCCGGCCGCTTCCCGGGCTTGAAGGCCACCTGGGGCGACTCGGCGAACCCGTTCCCCCGGCACTCGCCGTTGTCCGACATGGGGTAGGGGGACTTTGGCTGCTCGTAGCTGTATTTCCTGTACCTGCCCTCCCCGTCGTCCTCCCCGCCGACGTCGAACGCCTTCCTCTTCAGCGCGCCCGCCTCGGTGCCCAGCGGCGGCACGGCCAGGGGGGCCAGCCCGGCGGCGCCCTGGTAGCCGTACCCGGGCACCCCGGGCGGGCGGGCGGCGGGCGGCGGGGCCGGGATGGGGGTGGGCGCCGCGATGCCGGAGGGCAGGTAGGAGGCGGGCGGGTGGGGCGGGTGGATGCCCCCGTAGCCCGGCTGCGGCGGGTAACTGCCGGCGGCGTAGTTGTACATGGGGCCCGAGGAGCCGTAGCCCGGCACCAGGGCGGGCGAGGGGTGCGGGGGCTGCAGGAGCCCCGAGCCGTGGAGGGCGGACGGGTGCGGGGGGGGGAGCGCCGCCGCCGGCTGGGCGCAGTAGCCGGAGGGCAAGTAGGTGCCGCCGTAGCCCGAGGGGTACTCCTGAGACGCCCCGAGCCCGCCGGAGCCGGCGGCGGCTCCCCCACAGGAGTTCCCGGGGTACATGGGGTCAGCGAGGTTGGCCGACACCACCGGGGAGCCGCCGAGCCCGATGGCCCCGCCGGCGGCGGGCACGGCGGGCGGCACCACCCCCTTGGCGCCGGGGAGGCCATCGTGGATGGGCGTCAGGGGGTAGGTGCCGTCGGAGCCGTGAGCCCCCGGCCAGGGCTCCCCGTCCCCCTTCTGCCCGTTAACGGGCCCGAAGGCGCCATCCCCGTATCCGCCGAGCGCCGGGCGCTCGTAGGGCGCGTCCAGCACCCCCGAGTACTTCTCGGCGTACCTCTTGAGGAGGTTGGAGGCCGTGAGCGCCGAGATGTCGTCGTTGGCCCAGGCGTAGTTGAAGCGCTGGCGGGTGCTGGGGTACAGGTCGGACTTGTGGGCCGGCGAGGAGGTGGTGGAGGAGACGTCCAGGTGCTGCTCCGGCCACTGGTTCAGGGACTGGGCATGCTCTGGTGACCAGTGCATCTTCGACAGACCTGTGGGGACGGGGCAGCACGGGTGAGAGCGGTGAAACAGGGACGGGCACCTCTCTGAGTGGAGCGTCCCCAAAAACCTGGGCTGGCCTGTCCTGCGCCCCATCACACCCCCCCGACTGCAAACACCTGCTTCAACTCACCCGAAACTTTCACAGGATCCCAGAATTCCTGAGGCTGGAAAAGCCCTCCAGGATCACCGAGTCCACCCTGTGCCCCATCCCCACCTTGTCCCCCAGCCCAGAGCACTGAGTGCCACCTCCAGTCACTCCTTGGACACCTCCAGGGATGGGGACTCCACCACCCCCCTGGGCGGCCCCTTCCAAGGCCTGACCATCTTTTCCACGCAGAAATTCTTCCACCCAAAAATCCCCTTTGACCGCGGGGGCCTCCACACCGCGGCGATGCCGGGGTCGGTGTCACCCTCTCTTGCTCCAGTCCCCAAATACCAGCGGCCCCTCAGGGTGGTGGCAGCATGTCCGTGTCCCCCTCCCCACCCTGCTGTGGTCCCCCTGTCCCCCCCATCCCACACCCATCGCCTCCAGGGACACCGACACCGGAGCCAGGCGGGGGCCTCGTGCCCCCCTCCCTCTCCGCTCGCAGCCTTTAAGCCACTTTGTGGCCACGGCACAATTAGATTACTTAATGCTTTAATTGACTTATGGGGCATTTGTGCTTCCACTTTGGATATCAAACTTCCACAAGAGGATTTAGACGGTGGCTTTGCGTGGCTTGAGCCGCCCTCCCCCTGCATTTATGGCCATTATCAAAGAGCTCCTTGGTGGATAAACCCGCAGCAGATCCTCCTGGAGCCGCCCGCGGAGCCGGCTGGGCACGGGGGGCCTGGGGGGCACCTGGGGGCAAAGGCACCAGGAAGGGAAAAAGGAGCATTTGGGAACTATAGAGTTCCCAAATGAGGAATAAGACATTTTCCTTAATTTTTTTTTTTTAAGGAATTAAAGCCCTGAGAGTTTCCACCCTTGTTCAGGGAGGGCTGAGCACTGTGCAGTCCTGCAGCTGCTTCTGCCCCCCCCAAAATATCCAGCTGGAAATGCCCAGGGGTTTGGGGGGCACCAGGAGGTGTCCGACTGTTCCAGGACCCGCTGCAGCACCGAGCCCAGTGTGGAGCGTGGCAGGAACGAGGTGCCACCAGCACAACCAGCAAACCCCAGTGGCATTCCCAGGCTTCTGGAGTCAGGGGAGCAGCTGCCCACAGAGACCTCCACCCTCCTGGAGAAGGGAGGACCATGGAAATCCACATCCATCTTCTCCTGTCCTGCAGCATCCGGCAGTGCCAGCCCTGTTTCTGCAGAGAACACCCCGAGGATGGACACAACCCCACAGCAACCAGGAGCGCCCAGCGTTTCCCCCACGGATTGATCCCAACGCCTGAACCCCGCTGCTCGTACACCAGCTAAAAACTGGCATCTCAGGATGGGCCCAGTGATGGAATTGCTTCTACAATAGCCTGGAAGAGGGTGGCCCACGCCATGGTGGAAGCCCATCACGATGGCACAGCTCCTCCAGCCCCCATTCCCGAGCCCCGGATCCCGGGGCAGGGGGTTTACACGGTCCCGAGGCGCCAACCAACCCTTTAAAGGACAAGAGAAGGCATTTGGGAGAAGAAAAACCCAAATCCATGGAAAAGCCCGTCGCACCCTGGAAAACGCGGGGAGGGGGAGGGCGGCGGGCAGGGAGGAGTTGTCAGGGCTGAAATGGGACGTGAATGAGCGGCGGAGCGGGACAGATGTTTCAATGCTCCCCTTGGCAGTGTGAGAAAATTACTGTCCAGTGACCAAATGGCCGGGCCGGTTCCCACCCTCGCTGCTGCCCATTATCCCCAGCGCAAGACAAAGGCGGGCAGGGGGGCTGGGCAGGGAGAATCCTATTGTTCCCGCCCGCCCTAATTATGGAAATCTTGTTAATCTATTCAGCAGCGACTCTGAACTGGGCTTTTGTTCGGGGGTTTTTAGCGGGGGAGCGCCACCGAGGGTGTCCAACGGCTCTCGGGCGTGGGGACGGGGTGCGCTGCCGCCCGCCGCCCCCCACCCCGGGAGAAGCTCCGGCCACGAGGCCTCGGGATGCTGGGCTGCCCCAGAGCGGCATCTCGGGGTGAGGTGGCTTTGTTGGAACGGGGATATCCCGTCCTCGGCCCTCGTATGCAGAGCGCACCACGTACACACACACACACTCGTGTCCTCACGCCCGTGTCGGCCCCAGTTTTTATGCTGGGCGTAAAAACCCCAGGAAAAATCCCGCAGGGACGACCCACAGGCAGCATGTGCTGATGGCTGCAGCGATCCCACGTCCCTGGGGGGATCAGGAGAGGGCTCCAGTGGATTTGGAAGGCAAAGAAGAAGAGCGACGCGCGAGAGCAAACACGCTCGAGCTGGGGATGCGCTAAAGCCAGGGTTTAAATCCAGGGTTTAAATCCAGGGTTTAAATCCAGCCGAAGTCCCCCGAGCCCTGGGAAGAGGGAGCAGCCCCCGGAGGGAGCGATCCAGATGGGATCAACCCTTTGGTTGCATTATCCCAGCCCTCGGGTGCCGGGATGAGCCGCGGAGCCGCCTCCATCCACCACCCCACGCTCGTCCCGCCGCTGTCGTGCCGGTTTAACGCTGACGGCTCCTCGGGGCCAAGCTGTCACTCGGAGGAGTTATGCTCTTTCCAAAATCCATTGAGCAGCTCCATTATCCCTGAAATTCCCGTGGCCCGATGCGACTGGCTCCCGAAAGCCGCCCTGCTTCCAGGGGCTGCCCGGTTTCCCAGGATTTTAACGCTCTGCTGTGCGAGGTTTGGGCCAGGGGAGAGAAAACGGGGATGCTGGAGCCTCCTTCCACGGCCCAGCCTTCACTGAGCCCCGAAAACACGGATTTCCCACCTCAGGGATGCGCGTGACGGATCTTCCATGCTGGGCTGTGCAGCCGATGGTGGGTCTGGACAAAGAGGAGGAGAGAAGACGCTTCCCCAAGTCTGCCCAGGAGTGGGAATGACTTTTTCTTCTTCTAAACGATGTATTTCCTGATGATCTTTTGGGCTACAGCTCCCTGAAGCAGAGCCCCAGGGCTTTGGGGTTCATCGCTGCCTCCTCGGAGCAGCGCAGGGAAAGTGCAATGGTATCATCCGAGTGAAATCAGGGCTGTAAATCAGAATTATGACCCTGCAGACACTGTGCTGACCCTCACAGAGGACCTGAGGCTCGTGGCAACGTCTCGGAGCTGCTCCAGCACTAACGCTGGGGATTAAAGCAATATTTGGGCGTGTTGATACATGTCTTGAGGCCAGACTCCGGTCATCTCCAGTCAGCCTGGAATAGGCAGAGCAGCCCAGCAGAGCCTGTCCCAAAGGCAGCACCAGGCACAAAGACACACTCAGGTGTCATAAAACCAGCGAAGGTTCCACCCCCAGCCCGGCCCAGGAGGGGATTCCGTGGCAAACACCAAGTTTTCCAAGGCAAACCCAGGGCATTTGGCAAACCTGCAGTGACATTCCCCGTCCCCTCCCCAGCGAGGGCTGGGATTGCAATCAGAGCAGGGTCAATGTACATGTGTTAAAAGGATTTGGGCTGATCCCCCCCCCCCCCCCAGTGCCCTCTCCCACCCCCGGGGAGGAACGGCCTCATCCCGGGCGATCCCGAGGCTCCGGCGTCCGCTCTGGCCGCTCATATATCAAGTGCAGAGCAGCTGGACACCAGCACGGGCCGGGAGTGACCAACGGGCCGTTGTCCATCTGTGCTGCCCCGGCCTCGGCCGGCGAATGAAAAATTCATCCGGATCCGGCGGCAGCTGAACATCCCCATCTGTCACGGGCAGGAGAGAGGAACCCACCGCCAACGGCACCCGGGGGAGCTGGAGTCACGGCCCCTGGCCCGGGAATTCCGGGATCAAGGGGATACGGCAATAAAACCCGGGGGTTGTTAATAAGGGAGGCGACGCGAGGGGCGGATCGGAGGAATTTTGCTCTGCGCGTCGGCGGAGGGTGGGTGGGAGGAAAATAAAATGGAATGGGATAAAACGAAACGAGCGAAATGAAATAAAGTAAAACAAAAAAACCAAAACGAAATGAAACAAAACAAAACAGTGATACAGCAAAATAAACCCGACCGAATCAAAACAAAATGAAATAGAAATAGAAACAAGAAAAGTGGACATAAAGGAGTGAAAAAAAACCAGCCCCCTTTTGCTTTTTTTATTTTTCTTGACACCATTCGTCTCCAGGTCTCCTGGAACCCCTCAGGTTGCTGAGATCTGGCCTTCAGTCCTGAACCACCCCCAGGAACATGGGACAAAACTGCTCAGCTACTTGTTTGGGTCTAGAACCCCCTGGAAGCTGGAGTTGGTTCAGCTCCTCTCCTGCCACTCCACCAGCACGATCTCCCCTCTGTGCCAAGGATGAGCATTAATTCCAAATGATTAATTATCCCATTAATCCATCACAGTGCTGCCCACCCCCCAGTATGGGTGGCTTCAGCTCCCTCTGACAGTGTCCCCAGTCCTCCAGTGGATCTTCTCCTGCCCTGAACCACCTCACTGCTGCAGGACCTCACTGCTGCAGGACCTCACTGCTGCAGGGTGACATTCCAGCTGCGGGCTCCACATTCCAGCTGTGGTCTCCGCCAGGACGCTGCCTGAAGGACAGTTCTCAGGTGGGCAGGAGGATTTTCCCAGGAGCATCCCTGAGGAGGATTTTCCCAGGAGCATCCCTGAGCACTCGGGTCACCGGATCCCACCGTCCTCCAGGTCGCCTCAAGGAGCAGGAGAAGCCTCAGCGCGTCCCAGGGAGGGGTCCCATGGGTGCTGCTCAGATCCCTGTTGGGATGAAGCTCCAGTAATGAACCCCCCAGGGGCAGGAGCCCCCAGCCCCGGGTCCATCTGCTCCAGGATCTGCCCTCGGGGGGGGTCAGTGCCGGGAAGGGGCTGCAGGAGGGAGATAATTCCCGCCGTGCACCGTCCGTGGCGGCAGCAGCAGCAACGCTCCAGCTCCTCTCCTCCACGGAACGAATCAATCTTAATTAACTCTAATTCTGGGGAGCCTCCCAGCCCCATCCAGCACCGCCAAGGCCGCCGCGTTTTCCGCCTCGGCGCCCGCCGGGCGAGGTGCCCCGCAGGGAATTGGGCAAAACCTCCTCTTTTCCATCATTCCTGCGTCTC